CAGAAAAAGCTGCAAAACTAGTAGTAGTAGCTACAGGCTAAAAAGAAAAATGGGATTGAGAAAATAATTACCTTGAAGGGGGCCTCCAAAAACCTCAGCTTCTGAGTGAAAAGACAGATTATGCAGGAAGGATTTCTAGTTTTTACCAAAATTGGTTTTTTGAGGCTGCAAGATAAAAAGGGGAGAGAGAGAGAAAGAAGAGCTACAGATGGAGATAAGATCATTAGAGAGAAAAAGGGAGAGAGAAAGGTGGTGGTGGGGCGTCAGATAATGTCAGATGGACAAAAATAAAAAGAAAATGAGATTGATTGATTATACATTGCAGACAGAGAAGCAAAGCAGGGGACTGTTTTTGTTTTTGTTTTTGATTTTGATGGCTCCACCTTTTTTTAAAATAATAATAATAATAATGGTTTTTTTTATAACAAATCTCATGCGCACGGGTAAGACAAAATTAAACATATTCATTAAATAATATTTATAAATTAAAAGTTTGGAATCAAACACAATTTACTTATATTAATTTATTGAGAACGTTGTATGAAATTTAAATTGCAAAATTACAAACACCATCATATTAATTTGTTGAAAACATTATATGAAATTTAAATTGAAATATTACATTAAACATGTCTATTTAAAATTAGTACATTTTATACAAAATTTCATATCGTTTAAATGCGAACATTTCATACGAAAACAAAATCGTCCATTTTATACTATAAAATTGAATATTTATTAATAACGATACATTTCCTACCAAAAATAAAAATGACCATCGGATACCTAAAATAAAATTTCTCACTTTATACTAAAATCGAATTTATTAATTTTGCTAACTTTATACCATAAATTGATTAATTAATTTCTAGAGGTGAGAATTTTTTTTAAAAATTTTCATAAAAGATTACCAAGTTTAATAATTTTAAAAATTTTAACTGGTATTTTAGTTTCTATTTCATATAAATACAAACCTTTTTATATATACATATATATAGACTTTAATCACGTAAAGATACGATTTACGGAAACATAATCTATGAACAAAAAAGTAATAGTAAAATTTTAATTTAATCACATGGATAAGATAGTTGGTTAAACATACAGTATATCCAAATTCTAGGAAGTAGTCCGGAGAATTAATTAAAATTAGTCGGTAATTTGATTGTTGAAAAATTGCATCATGTCAAGTTTTACTGATCAATATACAATATTATATGAAATAAAAATTTCTTAATAAGTTAAAAAGTTAATCGACATTATATATATAAATCAGATCAAATTATATAAAAAGTAATAAATATATTATGTGAGTTTAGGATTAGAAACTATTCCACAATCATCTCATAAAATTAGTCAGATAGTATAATAATTAATGAAAAATTTTAACCTAATTTTAGTTAAACTATGAGATTATGCCATATCTAATTTTTTTTATTTCATTTGTTGTACAATTTAATATGTCGTTCATGTATTAAGTTCAAACATAGTCAATATTATATTCTGTATTATTTTAACATATTACAGTTGTTTGATTTCTCTTAATTTTTAGGATGACAACGTCGCAAAATATGATAATGAATTGATGGTATTATACTCAATTACAAAATCATAATAATTATAACCAATAAATATCTTATAGCAAGAAAAGATCCTAAAAGGAAAAATATTTGAATAACGCGAATTTGTGGAACAAACTTATTATAATGGAAAAAATTGTAGTATATTAGAATTTAATCACTTGCAGAAAATTTCGGAAGGAAAAAAACAAATGCATTACGAATTGTAGGGATTAACATTAAAGAATTCAAATTTACTAATAAAATCACCATGGATTTAAACTAATGACCGTGGTTTATGGATGCATTTAATGTTGTCCAATTTAAAAGAAATAAAAAATAAAGTTACTAATTATGGACTTGCAATTAATATTTCCAGATTTTTTTATTGCTATCTTTAGTAAATAATAATTCTTATTATATATATATATATATATGGGATGGATCTATTGAGACCACTCCTTAAAATGAGTACGTGAGACTTAATTTTAGCCACTCATTTTCTCTAGATCAAAATCAATTAAAATATACATTAATTAAATAATAAAATAATTATTAGTTGACTCCGGCGTACGTTGACCGTTGACTCCGGCGTTGACTTCCGACGAAAATTGTTGACTTTCGGTGAAAATCGTTGACTTCCGGCGTTGACCCGTTGACAAATAACCTACTAGCAAGAAATAAATAACCTAGCAACAAAAGACACTCAACCTTGAGTGGTGTAGTGGTTGCATTGCTTGTCTTGCTTCCATGAGGTACCAGGTTGAAATCCTATGGGTTACAATTTTTTTACGTAGCAACAAAAGACAACTAACTTAGCAGCAAGAAAGAAATATCCTAGCAATAAAATACAATTAACCTAGCAGCATCAGACAACTAACTTAGCAACAAAACACAACTAACCTAGCAGCTACAGATAACTAATATAGCAGCAAGAAAGAAATAACCTAGCAACTTAAGACAACTAACCTAGCAACAAAACTCAACAAAAGACACGACAAAAGACTCAAATGCTCTCACCTCTCTCTATCTTTCTCTCTCTAGGTTTCCCCTTTCCCTCTTGCACCCTCACCCAGCTCATCCCCACCCCCTCGGCCACCAACCCAGACTAACCACCCCCGCAGTCCGCCACCGCCAGCGGCCCCGGCCACCGGGAGCACCATATTTTTCCATATTTTACTTTCGGTTTTAGCGTATCAGTCCTCTACGTTTTCAGTTTATTGCCTAACCATGGCCCCTACAGCTCCCTCCACGGCCAATATTCCAGCTCCTCCGCCAGTCATTCCTCGGAACTGGATCTTTTCATTTCACAGCCAGAAATCCGAGAGGCTTTCTCGGTTTTTCTCGCTAAAAGCAAATCCACAGTCATGTTAAAAGGAGAAAAAAATTTAGTGGAAGAGGGCGAAATAGTTGAAGGCCTCGACATCCAGCAACCGGCCAACAAGGCAAAGAGTTCAGAAAATCGCAGCTCAAAAAACAGCCATTCGGACCAGCTAAAGAGTGTAGCTTGGTCGCAACCTTCATATCCGGATCTTGGTTCGTCCTCGCAAATAGAACTTGGCTCGGGTCGGTCGGAGGTTCCCTTTGGCCCAGAAGCAGGAAACCGTGGCTTAAAAAACCGGAAGTGCAGATCCGCCGCTCGCCGTCAAGTCGAATGGCCCAACGCCGGAAGTAGCCTCGTCGGAAATAATGTCCACCGCCGCCACACTTTCAGCTTTGAATTTCCCTTCAGCTCATTTACTCAATGCTCAAATAATAGGGTTTGAAGAGCCACGTGGTCTCAAGATCAACTCACCCGACATAAAAGGTAATCTGGGTCAAATCTCTTATTCCATGCCTGAGCCGAATTTGGTCTTTCCTCAGGCCCAATCCCCGCGACCCAATTCACCTTCTATAAAGCCTCAACCTCATGGCCCCTTCCCTCAGTCTAGTCCTTTAAACCTTCAATCGAGCCCGCCTCTTCTTGGCCCACAGCACACAACAAACTCTCAGCCCACCAAACCTTCTCTGGGCATACAAATTTTCGATACTCATCACCCCACCTCTCAAACCCCCAATATCACCAACCCGACCCATCCTCAACCGGTTATGGCCCAGCCCGACACCAAACTGCCACCAACCCACCCCATTAAAAATCTACCCTCCCAGCCCAATCTTAACCTCCACAAAACAGCCCAGCAGCCCTCCTCTCCCCCTCATGCTGCAGCTGAGACCCAACCGACAGCCACCGTTCATGTCGCCGTCGGCGCCGGAGCCACCACATCCACCGAAAAATCCGCTCTGGCCGCCAACCATGCCGAACCGGCCCCGAAGTTAGATTTTGCGCCCGGCATTCTCGGGCCTCGGCCAAATATACCTTCTACGGCTGGGGTCATCGCCGGACTTTCCCCGATCGAGACACCACCGACGGGCCCCACCACGGCTAACCCCGCTGCAACCGGGTCTCTTCCGGAACCTTCCTCTGGCCCACTTTCATTCCGAGAAGCTATTACCGGAAAGAGAGATGGCGGTACGGACGCCCCGCGACCGAAACCGAAAGACTTCACCTTTGACGGGGGATACGAGCAGGCCTGCGGAACCATTATCTGCTCGGAAGGAAACAAGGTTAAGGCCCGATTCACCGAAGCCGAATCTGACACTCTAGCAGGTAAGTTAGCTAACACCATGGTGTTTAAGTTTACTTATGCTATCCCTGCCCCCCGAGATATATCTGCTGGATTAGGTAAATTGGGTTTGAATGGTAGAGTGTCATCTAAGTGGTATAATTTCAATCACCTCCTAGTCACCTTTAGTGTTCCCGAGGACTATAACGAGGTTTGGCTTAAGACCTCGATTCATCTGTGTGGATGCCCAGCTAGGGTGTTCAAGTATAATGTTGGGTTTAACCCAAAGACAGAGACGCTTGTTGTCCCCATGTGTGCCGTCTTCCCGGCCTCCCACCCCATCTTTATGACCGTGCTGCCATCACTACACTAGCTAAGTGTATTGGACAGTCGATTTGTATTGACGCCCCGACGGCCCTTCAGTCAAGGGCTAACGTAGTGCGATTCTGTGTTGAGATAGACCTTAGAGTTGAGCCCGTTCATGAGATTGAGATCGAGCAGGGCTCGGAGACCTTTTTCCAGCGGGTGATCTATGAGAAGATTCCCACGTTCTGCACTTTGTGCAATCATGTGGGTCATATTGCGGCTGATTGCTACACTAGTGGCAATAAGCCACGGCCCACTCTTCCACAGCGCCACCGTGCTGCTCAGCCGGGGCCCTCCACCGGTCGGAGGGACCCGAAGGGAAAGGGCAAAAGCCCTCTCAGCGCGTCCGAGACCCCGAAGGGGTCTAAGGATAAGGGCAAGGCTGTGATTGTCGACACTGCCCAAACTGGGAAGGATATTCATCCTAACCAGCCTAAGCAATTGGCCTTAGTAGGGCCTAATCCCAAGTCCACGGGCTTTCTCCCCAGACAGACCTTACAGACGGCCTTCAGTACAAGAAATTGTCAAAATGCCAACAAAAATTACCAACAAAAATTTTTCCGTTGGGGATTACCAACGGATCACCAACGGATTAGTAATGCATTATATATACAATTTTTATAATCGGATTACCAATAGAATACTAACAAAATATAGCTACGAAAATTATATCTTAGTATTCCGTTGGCAAATAGTGACGGAAATATTCCGTTAGTAAATACAAACAAAATACTAATAGAATAGCAACAAACTCTTTCAAAATTATATTAGCAACGGATTATTTCGTTGGTAAATAGCAACGGATTTTTTCCGTTGGCAAATAGCAACGAACACCTTCAATATTGTATTAGCAACGGATTATTCCGTTGGTAAATAGCAACGAATTTTTTCCGTTGGTAAATAGCAACAACAATTTCTTTCAAAATTATAATAGCAACAGACTATTTGCTTGGTAAATTGTGACGGATTTTTTCCGTTGGCAAATAGCAACGGAATAGCAACAGACACCTTCAATATTGTATTAGTAACGGATTATTTTGTTGGTAAATAGCAACGGATTTTTTCCGTTGGCAAATAGCAACGGAATAACAACAAACTCTTTCAAAATTGTAATAGCAACGGACTATTCCGTTGGTAATAGCAACAGAATTTTTTCGTTTGCAAATAGCAACGGAATAGCAACAGACACATTCAATATTGTATTAGTAACGGATTATTCCGTTGGTAACTAGCAACGGAATAGCAACAAACTCTTTCAAAATCGTATAATATCATTATTATTATTATTATTTATAACACTTACAAAAGTAAAATTCTTTATATATATATATATATAATGATAAATATTTAATTTACATTAATATTATTTAGTTATGTAATTAATTTAATAATATTTAAATCAATTCAAAATAAATATGTGCCACATATGCATCCCATTCATTTTCAGAATTTGTTATATATCATAATAATTAAAAAAAATCATATATATATATATATATATATATGATTTTATGACATTGTTAAATACATTAAGCCTAAAAGTGAAATTAGTAATTAGGTCGTATTATCGTTGAATTTTGTGATATTGTTTTTTAATTAGGGTAAGTTTGGTTACTATAATTGATTGAGCTTGATTAATTCCCATAAAAAAAGTTAAGTGATATCCTCTTGATAAGAAAGGTATATTATTTTGTTTTGTTCATAATTGATAACTATAGCTTTATGTTAAGATTACTTTTTTACCCTCTAGTTAAAATCAAATTTTCAAGTGTTGCCCTTCATCTCCAATATAAAGCTTTACCTAAATGAAAATTTATTGAACAGAATTTCATCTCCAATTATAAAGCTTTTACATAAATTAAATTATTCAACAAAATTTGGCAAATAATGTTATTAGTACAAGTGTACAACTCCAAATCGCAATCACCGTGTGAGTAGATGGGTTCAAATTTGACAAAATTTCGAAATTTTCTTACTGCTACAAATTTCTACAACAAAATTTTACACCTTTTTTCCTTCTTTCCTCTCAGAAACTCAGAAACTCATAGTGAAAAAAATCTACCCAAATTTTGAAGCAGTTTATTTTGAAATTGTTAAAACAACATCAATTTTACAAATTGAGCAAAGAAAAAAAAAATCTGAGGCCTGGTCGCCGAGCAAGAAGAGTAAGAGGCAAGCGATGATAGCTATCAAGGCGGCGACGGAGTACCGCTTGTTCGAGCCGCCACTTTCCGGCGACAAGGCCCGCCGCCTCTGGCTTCAGGACGCCGAGGCCCTCTTCTATTCCGCGGAGTACCTGCTCGATGGAACACAAAATCCACCAAATCCGAACTGAAGTCCTTGGTTGTTGATTTATGAAATTAGAAAAAAAAAAAGAAGAAGATGAAGGGAGGAAGATGAGAAGAAGGAGAGAACAACAGAAGATGGAGGAACGGATGAGAGAAAAAATCAATAGAAAATTTTGGGACATTTTGGGAATTTTTATTTTGGGAGTGTATGGATAAGATATCCCAATACCAGGGCCGGATAGCATATAAACAAATTTAATGATAATTGACCGGGCCATGCTCAATTTTCAGGGCCAACACCAGCTCAACCAAACATAATAAACACATGTATATAATAATAAATGGTGTGATATCATACCCAATCCTTCTAACCAAACTGACCCTTAGAGTATTGAATATTTTGATAGATGATAGACGATATTAAAAAATCATATATACATATATATGATTTTATAATTGTACTTATAAATTATAAATATATTTAGATATATGATAAAATTTTACAAAAATATTTATTTTAATTTGTGAATAAAAAATTTTATAATGACACTTATTTTGAAAGGAATATAAATATAATTTGTTATCAGTTAGTGCACTGTACGAGTTGTGTATTAATTTAAATAGACACATTTATGTAATTTTGCACAGTTTAAATTACATATAATATTTTTAATAAATTAATATAGGTAAATTATATTATATATCTATTCCATATTTTTATTTTGTAAATATTATTTAATGAGGTAATAAATTTGAATGATAAGGTGGCCGACAAAAGATCTAGAAAAATGCGAGAATATATATATATATATATGTCTGTGTGTGTGTGTGTATACATACATATATAAATGAAAATTTATTGTGTAGTCCAAATTTGAGTTTCAAATTTAAAAGTTAAATAAGTAATTATTCATAACTTGTGAGTCAATACTAACTTTGACGTAAATAAAATAGTTAAGTATTTAATTTAATAAATGACTCAACTACTTAAAATTTTTTATTTGGATAGTTTATACAAAAATAAATTCATTTTAATTAACTAAACAATATAAGTTTTATAATTATACTTATTGTTTTAATAGATATTTAAATATTTGATAAAATTTTACCAAAATATTTCTTTAATGGAATCACATTGTAATTGAATTTATAAATAATTTCTTTAAAATGTCACTTATTTTTAAATAAATATTATATAATTTATTATCAGTTAGTCCACCGTACGGGTTATTTACTAATTTAAATAGACATGTTTTATGTAATTTTTCACAATTTAAATTTCATATAACATTTTAATAAATTAATATAGGTAAATTGTATTACACATTGATTCCATATTTTTAATTTATAAATATTTAATGTGTATTTTTAATTTATAAATTCTAATACATATTTCTTACCCGTACGTCGTACGGGATTCGTACTAGCTCATTTAATAATGTCATAAATTTATGGATACTAATATATATAGTCACTATTTTTATAATTAGACATTAAAAAAAACACCTAATATAATTAAACGGTTAGATCATAAATAATATAAAAATATTTATGAATTTAAATATAGAATATAATTTATATATATATACGAGAAAATAATTAGTAAATATATATAAATTATATCCTAGTGGTGGTGTTATATATATATAAGAATTGTAGAATCCAGTCTCATACATTCATATAGCCTAGTGGTGGTGTTACCTCTTTAACATGCAAGAGGTCTTGAGTTCAAGCCCTATTGTTACGAGAATTGTGAGAATTACTAAGGATTATATTGGTGGATGGCCATGGGTCATGGTGAGCCTTGTGGTTCAAGGTGGCCATGGGCTCAAGGTGAGCCAAGTTGGATCAACAATATTATTTTTATTCCGTTTGTAATCTGTTGGGAAAAGTCCGTTGGCAATCCGTTGGAAAAAAATATGCGTTGGTAATCTGTTGGGAAAATTCCGTTGGTAATCCGCTGGGAAAAAATATTAGTTAGCAATCCGTTGGAAAATTTCGTTAGTAATCCGTTGGGAAAATTTCGATGGTAATCCGTTGGAAAAATATCTGTTGGTAATCCGTTGGGAAAATTACGTTGGAAATCCGTTGAGAAAAATTTGTTGGTAATCCGTTAGTATATTCGTAACTAATATGTTGGCTTTTTGTTAGTAATTTGCCAACGGAATGATTTAGCAACTACATTTTCCGTTGAAAATCCATTGACAATCTCATGAAGCATTTCCATTGCAAATTTGTTGGTAATCCTTTGGGAATTTTCCCAACGGATTGTATTTTCTGTTGGCAAAATTTAGTAACAAACCTTATAGCAACAAGAAAATCTGTTGGTAAGCCGTTGGCATTCCGTTGGGAAATTTCATTACCAACGGATTATTTCGTTGGTAAAACTCATATTTCTTGTAGTGCTTCAAGGCCAACCACTCGTATTTTGCTATTCTCTCTCCAGAGGCAGAGAAGGAGGCTGTGCCTTCCTCCAGCGGACCACCTAAGATTACCGATCTTATGCTTCTGGATGACGACGACCTCCTCGAAGACGATATGGACCAGCCGAACGCCACGCCCAGGGGAGAGTCCATCCACCTATCCGATGATAGTGCGCGCGATGCCGGTCTTTTGACTGTGCGCGCATCTAGCCCGGTCCGATCTTCGGACTTGAGGGCTACTGCCGTCACCGCTCCCCCGAAAGGGGATGAGTCGGCCCATCTTCTCACTGCTGAGATTGGGACCTCGGCTGCGCATATATCCAGCTCCCATCCTTCTTCTGGCGTGGAGCACCCGAGTGTTGCGCCTGCTGGATCCTCTCTTTCGCCCATTCCCGAGCAGGTTTGCGGTCTTAACCGCGCTCAGCATGACGTATCATGCGAGAGCTTCGCCTCTAGTGCCTTTGTTCACTACGACAGACAGGAGACTGCCCCGGAGATGGGGCAACCCGTTATTGCTGCTATAGGTCAGTCTGGCCAGCCTGACAACTCACAGGCCACGAGCACATACCGAGGCAGACAGCCCACGAGGACCAGAGCCACGCAGCGCACGACACGCCGGACGATCTCCCCTGCTATTGGATCCTTCCACCGCATGCCTTCTTTAGGTGGCCCGACTCAGCCTCGCCATAGGCGGACTCCGTCTGGTGGCTCTTGCGACCGTTGATATGTCCATCACATCCATTACTTGGAATGGCCGTGGCTTGGCGAATAGGGCTACCCTCTCTCACCTTCATTCTCTCATTCGTGATCACAGAGTCGATTTTGTTGGCTTTATTGAGCCGATGATTCACACACCTTCTTTTGACTACTACTCGCGTCGTCTTGGTTTCCACTCGGGCGTAGGTAATATTTCGCATAAGATCTGGTTCTTCCACTCGCGTGACTACACTTGTCGGGTCCTCCGCGACACCGATCAGGTGCTTCACGTTGAGCTTTTCGCTGCCCACCTCCCAGAGCCCATCTTTCACACCTTGGTTTATGCCAAGTGTACTAGGGTCGGGCGATATGACCTTTGGGACACTCTGCGTGAGATTACCGAGAGTATGGAGGGATTGCCATGGATGGTTAGTGGCAATTTCAACATCTTTCTGCATCCCGATGAGCGTATGGGTGGCCGTACGGACCGATCACGGGAGATGTGGGATTTTGCTCAGGCGGTGGCGGACTGCGAGTTAATTGACGTTGGATGTGATGGTGAGCCCTTCACATGGGTGAGGGACGGACTCAAAGAGAGGTTAGACCGTGTCTTGGTTTCTGAGGCGTGGGCGAAGGTGTTTGCGGTTATGACTGTCACACACCTTACTCGATTTGGGTCTGACCATTCACCCCTTCTCATCCGGTGCCGATTTTCGAGCACTCCCCGCCGCTCCTCATTTAGGTTCTAGAACATGTGGGTTCGACACCACTCCTTCCACGACACTGTCAGGGATTCCTGGCTTCAGCCGACTGGGCTCTTCGGGATGCGCAATCTCGAGGCGAAGCTCGACAGACTGCGGCGTCGGTTGAGACAGTGGAACTGGGATGTTTTTGGAAACCTTCATCAGCGCCTTGCTGCGGCTCAGAGTGCGCACGCGACGGCTGAGCGGGCCTATGACCTGGACCCCACTCCGGAGAATAGGACTGCCATGCACCGCTGCCACGCCGAGTACCAGCTCTGACTCCTTATGGAGGAGGACTTCTGGAAGCAGAAGGCGACCGTTCGCTGGGTGGCCGAGGGCGAACGGAATACTAGGTTCTTCCAGGGCTGCGTTAGGCAGAAGCGTGCTAAGTCGTACATCCATAGTATCAAGGCTGATGGGTCATCCTTGACTCAGGAGGCTCAGATTCGGGAATCGGCTGTTGCTCACTTCCAGAACCTCTTCACCTCTGACAGAGGGTCCCTTGTGGCCCCGACCACTTCTCTTTTCCCCACCATCCCTCCTTCGGTCGATCTCATTGGCCTCTGTGAGCTCCCGAGTAGGGAGGAGGTTAGGGATGCTGTATTCGGGATTGATCCCAACAGCGTTTCTGGCCCGGATGGTTTCTCCTCCCTCTTCTATCAGGTCTGCTGGGATCTAGTCGAGACTGACGTCGAGGAGGCGATGTTGGATTTTTTCTCCGGCCACCGGATGCCGGATTCCTTCACGTCTACCTCTGTCGTCTTGATCCCCAAAAGACCCAACCCGAGCTCTTGGTTCGATTATAGGCCCATCAGCCTGTGTAACGTCACCAACAAGCTCATTTCAAAGATTCTTAACGGCCGTCTTTCCCCTCTTCTCCCCTCCCTCATCTCTCCGAACCAGAGTGGATTCGTCAAGGATAGGGTCATTAGTGATAACATCCTTCTGGCCCAGGAGATGATCCACGACATCTCCCGAGCGGACTGGAAGCGGGCTCCGAATATCGGGCTGAAGCTAGACATGGCTAAGGCGTATGATAGGGTTGAGTGGCCGTTTCTTAGGGAGGCGCTGGCTAGGACGGGATTTCCTGACCGCTGGGTCAGCTTTGTGGAGGCGTGTGTGGAGCATTGCACGTTCTCGGTCCTGGTTAATGGCAGCCCCACCGATTTCTTTCCCTCCTCTAGA